GTGAGGGAAGGACTTGTAGTGCGGTGTAGGAGTGAGGGAAGGACTTGTAGTGTGGTATATGAGTGAGGGAAGGACTTGTAGTGTGATGTAGGAGTGAGGGAAGGACTTGTAGTTTGGTGTAGGAGTGAGGGAAGGACTTGTAGTGCGGTGTAGGGGTGAGATAAGGACTTGTGCAGGAGTGACCATATAGACTTGTGGCGTTGCGAAGCTTATAAATTCTAATACACTGTTGTAATCTTTTATGTGGAATTGTAACTAGACGTTCAGGAAGTATTTTGTTCAACTTAATTATTTTGGACTTTAGTTTCATCTTCATTTGGAAAAGAAAATATGTTATTCTTCCTGGCAGTGAAATACAAGATGTTAGTTAAGATTTTATTGTAAATTTAAGTAATTATTACAGCTTTACAACTTACTTGTAACCAATGAGCATTTCCTGTGGGCAAACTTTTGAAATTGTAGAAAAATAAAATTGCATTTGTTGTAAATGTTCTGAGGCAGTATGTCACTCCTAGGGGCAATGTGAGGCCCCCAGGGCTTATACGCCGCCGCCACGGACTGTTTGGCTAATTAGGGCTGTGTGGTGATCATAGGTGGTTGTATAATGGATTTAAGGACTATGTAAGGTTGTCAGGGGTAGTCTGATCCAACCAGAGGCTGTTTGTGGCTATATTGTGAATATCAACTTGGAGATGTGTGAGGCTCTTAGAGAGCTACTGTACTTGTGACTGAGGGGGTTAATTGATGCTCCTAATGGCTGTGTACAGGAAAAGATGAATATATCCTAAATAAGTCAGTCTACCCGACATGACAGGAAGTTGTATTGTGTATAATATTTACTGTTGGTTCGACAAGTCTTTATAAATGCTAAAATAGATTATAACGGTGTATTGAAAGTTTATCTACTGATTACTGTAGGACTGAGGGAAGGACATGCAGTATTGTGTAGTATTGAGGGAAGGACTTCAGTATTGTGTAGGAATGAGGGAAGGACTTGTAGTGTTGTGTAGGACCTAGGGAAGGACATGTAGTGATGTTCGTAAATGAGAGAAGGACTTGCTGACCTTACGAATGAGAGGACTTACTGACCTACTAAGGAGTGAGAGGAGGATTTGCAGTGTTTTATAGGAGTGAGGGAAGGACATGCAATGTTGTGTAGTATGAGGGAAGGACTCATTGTGATGTATAGGAGTGAGAGAAGGACTCGCTGTGCTGTGTATAGGAGTGTGGGAAGGACTCACTGTGATGTGTAGGAGTGAGGAAGGGCTCGCTGTGAGGTGTAGGAGTGAAGGACTCACTGATGCGTAAGAGTGAGGGAAGGACTCCCTATGAGGTGTTGGAGTGAGGGAAGGACTCACTCTGAGGTGTAGGAGTGAGGGAAGGACTGACTGTGAGGTGCAGGAGTATGGGAAGGACTCACTGTGATGTGTAGGAGTGATGGAAGGTCTCGCTGTGATGTGTAGGGGTGAAGGAAGGACTCACGGTGAGGTGTAGGAGTGAGTGAAGGACTCACTGATGTGTAGGAGTGAGGGAAGGACTTCCTGTGAGGTGTAGGAGTGAAGGACTCACTGATGTGTAGGAGTGAGGGAAGGACGGACTGTGAGGTGTAGGAGTGAGGGAAGGACTGATTGTGAGGTGTAGGATTGAGGAAAGGACTCACTGTGAGGTGTAGGAGTGAGGGAAGGACTCACTGAGAGGTGTAAAGTAAAGGGCTTCTGTCTCACCAATGAGGCAGACTATTGGTGATGACGTCATTGCTCTTGTGGTCTGTTCCACCATTGACGTAGACTACTAGTGGTGACGTCACTGCTGTGGTCCGCCAATGGAATGCCTAAAGTGACTTCAGCTCACTTAAAATGCAGAGAACTTGACATAATGTTACAAGCAAGTTGTAATGATTTAATTACATCTGAAAAATACAGTAAATTCTTAAACTAGCATCTTTTAATTCAGTGCCAGCAAGAGTAAAATAGTTCGTTATACAAGTGGAAATAAAAAGTACAAAATAAGTCAACAATGTCATAACATTGTTGAAGTTACGATATTTTGTACAGTAGTTTCATCTTCATCTGTAAAACACAATGTTTTACTCTAGCTGGCACAGCACTGAAATGAAAAATGCCAGTCTAAGAATTTACCTTAATTATCAGTTAGTTATTTATTGCGTGTTCACAACTTACTTTGTAACCAATGAATTTTTCCCCTGGACAAACTTTTGTAATTGTATTTTGTTTTTGTTTTTCAAATGTTACACATATTAAAAATTAATTACAAGGCAGTGTGTCTTCAAGGGGATAAGTGATGTTTGTGGCAACTTGGGGATGTGTGAGGCTCTTAAGAGCTGTCTGTGTCTCTGAGGAGGCTGATTGATTCTCCCCTAAGATCTACATGATGCTTCTAGGGGCTTATAAGTAGCTAGTTGTGTACAGCTAGTAAGGGCTATGTGATGACACTAAAGGCTGTGTGTGTCACTGCTAGGGACAGTGATGCTGCCAAGGGCTGGGTGCCGAGGCTTGTCTGAGCCCCCTACTGTAGAGATAGGCGAGACACGTCGACCAAGGTACACTGGTAGCCTTGCATGATCCAGGTTGGGTCGCCTTTATGGGACCCTGTGTACACAAGTTGTAGTACCATAAGGGCAACCTAACCTAGCAGTAACCTGGTGTCAATCATTGCAATACCTATTTGTATATTAACTTAATGTGTCGAATAAATGAAAAAAATACCCTTTTCTTTGTTTAGCAATACGTAACCGAACGGAAGCACATCGA